TGGCTCCATTCTCAGGGCCTTGGGTTTCTCATCTGTTCAATGCCTGCCTTGTAGTACCCTGGGCCCTGGAAGAGGCTGAAGAATTTGGGGTTCTCAAGGCTCAAGCCTCCCTACACAGTGTCCCTCCTGGTTGCCACTTGGCCATGCTGTGGCTGAGGGCTAATGGCTTCTTAGATACACAGAGCACCACCATGGTCCACTGGCTGGTGGATTCTCTACTTCTTTTCCTTGACCTGAGCCACCTGGTAGTAAAGAGTAGAATGCCCTTCCTTGCACTCTGCTCTCCTCTTTTTCTAGCCCTTAGAACTTCTGAAATAGGACACAGTACTGAAAAGTACATTTAGGGGACAGGCAGGCTATGAAGGTGGAGCTAATACCCCTTGACTCACATTGCCTACCTTCCCAAGATGGCAAAGACACCAACAATACTGAAGGCTAGAAGTAAGCCAGGGTCAAGGAAGCAACCTGAGCTCAAAGAACGACCTGAGCACAGTACTGTGCCTATGGCCTGAGCACAGTACTGTCTATGGACTGAGCAGAGTACTGTGCCTACTCTCCACCCAGCCTTCGATGAGGTGGCTCATGCAAGGGGACTGCCATGCTCTCGCCTTGTGCAATTTCTTTCCTGTAGCTTCTTCCATTTGTATCTCTTACAGTGTGGTGGCAGCTGTCCCTCGGGATTTGACTAAGTTGCTGTGAGCATGCTCTTCTGCCTCCCAGGGGAAGGCCAAACGATCACATCTTCCAGGAAGTTTGTGTTCTCATGATCACCTCTGAGCAGAGTCCCAGCTTCTAGATTCCATGCATATCTCTTCTCTGTAGCTTACATAAGCCTACACACAGACCACCCCCAACTCCTCAGCTGCAAATAGGGTGCAGCCACTCTTGCTGTGAGAAAACTGAGCCACGAAACTGTCCTCTTCCTGTTGGCTAAATGCCCTGTTTCTCCTCACAGGCTGTTCTTGGCTCTGCTGTCTGTGACCTTGCCTCTACCAGGCACAGGATCCACTTGCTCTGGCTGGGGGACTGAGACTGTCTGGGGCCAGCACATTGCCCACTGTTTAGGCTACATAGGGCACTGCAATGTGCTCCCTGTGAAGGGAGTGCTACAGAGTGTGTTTGGTGAAACACTTACTGCAATAGAAAGGAGTGCCCCCAAAGGATCAGAGTCATTGTGGCAATGTGGCCATTCCTTCTTTTCTCTTGATCTATGGCCTGCTGTAACTCCTTCAAAGTTCTCAGAGAAGCCCTCGCATCTTGCTTTTCACAGACTCAGAGTTCTCCAGAGAAACAGAACCAGTAAGGTGGATAGATAGATAGATAGATGGATGGGTAGATAGATAGATATAGGTAGGTAGGTAGATAGATGATAGCTAGCTAGCTAAATGATAGATAGATAGATAGATAGATAGATAGATAGATAGATAGACATAGGTAGGTAGGTAGGTAGATAGATGATAGCTAGCTAGTTAAATGATAGATAGATAGATAGATAGATATAGGTAGGTAATTAGATGATAGCTAGCTAGCTAAATGATAGATAGATCGATAGATAGATAGATAGATAGAGGTAGGTAGGTAGATGATAGATAGGTAGCTAAATGATAGATAGATCGATAGATAGATAGATAGATAGAGGTAGGTAGGTAGATGATAGATAGGTAGCTAAATGATAGATAGATCGATAGATAGATAGATAGATAGAGGTAGGTAGGTAGATGATAGATAGGTAGCTAAATGATAGATAGATAGATAGATAGATAGATAGATAGATAGATAGAGGTAGGTAGGTAGATGATAGCTAGCTAGCTAAATGATAGATAGATACAGGTAGGTAGGTAGGTAGATGATAGCTAGCTAGCTAAATGATAGATAGATAGATAGATAGATAGATAGATAAATAGATATAGGTAGGTAGGTAGATAGATAATAGCTAGCTAGCTAAATGATAGATAGATAGATAGAGAGATAGAGAGATAGATAGATATAGGTAGGTAGGTAGATAGATGATAGCTAGCTAGCTAAATGATAGATAGATAGATAGATAGATAGATAGATAGATAGATAGATATAGGTAGGTAGGTAGGTAGATAGATGATAGCTAGCTAACTAAATGGTTGGTTGGTAGGTAGGTAGGTAGATAGACAATAGAAAGATAGATGATTAGATGTTTCAAAGGGATCAGCTCATGCTGTTGTAGAATATGACATGTCTGAACTCCTTCAGTCACAGCAGAATTCAAATAAGAGTTATGGTTGCAATCATGAGTCTGCAATTTGCAGGCCAGGCCAGGAAGTCTAACATGTGGGTAGGGCTGATAACACTGGCACTGATGATGCACAGATGGGCTGGTGAACAGGAGAGCTTATGATTAAGGGGGCTAATATTCAGGTGGGGTGACGGACAGGAGAACTGATGAATAGGCGGGGCCTCCATGTGGAAGTCTTGAGACCCAATTCTTTCTTTGTGAAAACCTTAGTCCTTCTCTTAACCCTTTAGCTGACTACATGGAGCCCATCCACATTAAGGAGGGTACCCAGCTTTCCTAAAAGAGACTGATTGAGAAGCTAGTCACATCCAGACAACACTATCACTATGGCATATCATGGGGGATTTGGACAAACAGCAGGACACCACAGCCTTGCCCAACTGATACACAATGTTTCCCAGGACCAGGTTCTATGCCTGTCTATTTCATCGACCCATGTGTCTGAATTACAAAGTAGACATTCCATACTTAGTGTTACCAGCTGGAGGTGAGAATGGATGGCTGTTCCTCTCTGTGAGTGTAGCTGTGCTCATGTGTCTAATGAGTCCCCTCGAACAGAATAGAGCCACATTGTCAGATTTGACTAACTCTGGACTGTGGAAAGCTCCTGTCATGTTCTGAAGTGCCCCCAGGCTCCAGGGTTTGAACACTTGGTTCTTGATTGTATTTTGAGAGGTTATGGAACCTCTGGGGCAGGAAGTATGACAGGTAGAGGTGAAACGTTGGGCTGGACTTTGAGGAATATAGCCTAGCCCCACTTCTAGCCTGAACTTTTTGCTTCTGGCTAAGCTGTCTGTTTTCCAACCAAGCATTCTGCTTCCTGATCTGCCAAGATGTGAACCAACTTCCCCTGCAAGCTCTCACCACCATTGACAGGGCCGTGCTCACCCATGAAACACATGGACCCAAATAACCATTATTGAAACTTCTTTCTGGTCTCTTGGTCATAATGATGAGAGAAGTAGTTAATACTATCAATGACTTTTTTCACTGTGCTTTTGAGTTGGGTTTTTTTTTTTTGCCCCCATATTAAATGATATATATTATACATTTTAATACAGAGTATTGTGTTTAAAGCTGTTTAAAAACGCCTTTAGAGGGATGGAGAGATGGCTCAGAGGTTAAGAGTACTGGCTGCTCTTCCAGAGGTCCTGAGTTCAATTCCCAGCAACCACATGGTGGCTCACAAATCTGTAATAAGATCAGGTGCTCTCTTCTGGCCTGCAGGCAAAACACTGTATACTTAATAAATAAATAACCCTTAAAAATTAAAAAAAAAAAAAACGCCTTTAGAGGTAGAGAGGGGCTATGTCTTGGTCTGTGGTTTTTCCTCAGCCACAAAGTGCTTGGCCAGACATCTCCTCTATCAGGGAGAGGCCCACAGTCCTAGTGGTTCCTTACCCCAGTGGGAAACTTGAAGGGTGAGGTTTCCAGGGAAAGTGAGGCCAGGGTGTTAATTCTGAACTTGGAGTAGCAAGTACTCAGCTTCTCACAGGCCCGGTGCCTGATGGGAGAGGTGATGTGGGGGGTGGATCAGGAGCAGGAGTCACACCTGCCCTAGCTGTGCTCCTGGAGAGCACTGGCGGGTGTCAGAAGAGGCCACTGGAAAGGTGGAGGCCAAGCCTGAAAATGAGCTGTGGCCACATGCACTCCAGCGTGTGGCCGCAACTCCGCTCAGGGGAAGATTGCTGGGACAGCTTCAAGGGCCAGGCCCTGTTCCCAAACAGGCTGGCTCCCCTGTCATCAGAGACTAGATGAGCTGGGCTGGGCTAGGCAGTGGAGGTTCTGAGGCTGGAACATCGGTCATGGATCCCAGGAGATCTGGAGGATGGATGTGATTGGATGAGAGAAGGGAGCGTCATCTTGCTGCTTTGTGTCCCAGAAGGCCACAACAACACTATTTTTAGAAAGTAGTATGTTTAGTGGGGAAGTGAAATCCCACACCACTTTCTGACTTCTGCGTTTCTGAACGTTAGGGTTTGTGAGTTATCTGATGTTGGAGTAGTAGTGGCTAGTGTAAACAAAGCCTGGGTCCTTGTTGGGCATGATGTCAGTCCCTGTAGCAATGAAATCACCTGCATCTATGGGACCTACATCCATGGGCTCAACCAACCCTAGACCAGTAATATTCACAAAGGAGCCCCAACTCCAATCCCTAGCACCACAGAAACAAAATGCTAGAACCCGCAACAGTCCTGCATGTGCACAGGGCTCTTGTCATTTTCACAGAACAGTGCATCAGCTATTTACAGAACACGCAGAGTGCACTTTATAAATAATTTACTTTAAAGATGATTTGAAGCATACAGCAGGAGGTGCATGGGTAAACACTATGTAAATACTACAGCATTTTATATGAGGCACCTGAGCTCCTGTGGAATTAATTTGGTGTTCATGGAGGTCCTGGATCCAATTTTCCTTGGTGTTTGTGTGAACTTTATTCCTCGTAATAACCCAGGGAATGAAGCACGGAGAGATTAGGCAATGAACCCAAGGTCACAGAGCCCTGTGTGGTGGCCCTGGGAGTTGTCCCCAGAAGTTCTGAGCCAGGAATCTGTGCTCCAAACCACCTTAGAAACAGCAAATCTTGCTTCCCAGGACTTGTTGTGAAGTGAGAGCACTAACCCTCCCCTGCCCAGCACTGCCCCCCGCCCCTGCTCTCACTGAAGGCCATTTGTGAAGGGAGAATCATACCTGATCCACAGATTTGTTTTTCTTTCCCCTAGGTCCACATCAGCTGGGTAATATGCTGGATTGTAATGGGGCGGGAGGGAAGCTCACCTCACAATAGAATGAAATCCCAATCAGCATGCTTACGGACCTCAAAGGATCTAGCTTTTTCTTTCCTTAAAAAAAGACACAATGCTCTTGCCCCAAGCCTGGAGCCATTGATTCAGCGATAATAGGAGGTATTGTGTCCAGAGCAGCATCTCCTTGTAAGACCACAGACTGTTCTTTTTGGCAGGTATAAAGAATATTGACAAAGGAGATTCAAATAGTGCCCATGTTTTCCCCACCCCACCCCTTGCTGGCTTCTGAGGAAAAAGGGGGAAATTGATTTTTGAACATAGTATAAATACCATCGCACGTGCTCCCAAATATTGATTCTGTGTGGTGATTTTGTCACACGCACATAGTAGGTCTTAATAGAAGCTGATTGGAGCCAAATTGCCTCTGAGCATTCTGTCTGCTTTTTGCCTCAAGCTCAGGTGGGTGACTTCAGTTCTCTGGCTGACAATTCCCCATGTAAAGTGGGACTGGGAATAGTGTCTATCACAAAACAGATGCTTTTCAGTTCCCCGAGTGATCATGCCCTGATAAAACTGTTGCAAGTCAAAATACATGAATAAGTCCAACCAAGCAGACTTAGCTTAGCAATGTGGGCTGGCAGTGTGGCCTACCCTGTGACTGTGGAGGATGGTTCCTGCTACTGCCCAGCACCTCAAGGCAGCATTGTGCTGTCAAATAGCTAGACAAGGAAAGAGCCTCCCTCAAAAGTCAAGGTATGGGTGTCTATTATATGTGTGTAGCTTTTGTATCACTGAGAGGCTTCAGAACAAGTGGATGCAGTTGGGGAGGGGCTGTATCTACTTTGTTGGCTAGCCCTGAGGATTCTGTTTGGTAATTCAGGCTCAGTGGTCAGATCAGTGCCCAGCCCAGGCATAGCCTCTAAGTCTGCTGCTGCTATGGCAGGCTATCAGTGGGAAACTGAAGGGAAATGCACGGGATAGAGGAGGTCACTCTGGCAAGCTGCTCCTGATGGTCTGAGTTAGAAATGGCATTGGTCTTTGATGTTTACACAATAATTAAAAAACCTAGTGATACTTGGCAAAGTACCAGTGTATGCCTGTGGAAATCAGAGGGCAAATTCTGAGAGTCAGGTCTTTCCTCCCAACACTCTGGTCTTGGGGATAGAACTCAAGCTATTAGGCTTGACAATGAGTGCTTCTCTGAATCATCTTGCTAGCTCGTGAATACCTATTGAAGCCGGACTTAGGTCTGTTGGGCTGGGAGGTTGCACTGTTGCTTCAGATTCATTTCTTCCTGCAAGGTGTGCCCCAGGAATGGGTCTGAAGGTCATGGACTCTGTAACAGCCTCTGGGAGAAGCTGATTCCAACTCAAGTTAGCAAACAGCTCAGAGGCACTTGGGTGCATTGTAAGAGAGGGATAGCAGCTGTCCATATACTCATGGGACCTCTTAGTTGTGTCTGCTTAACCTAGAGCCGAAGTTCTCGCTGTGGCTCCCAGCAGACACACCCATTAGTGCCTGAGTCCAAGGTCCTATGCATTTTCAGATCTTCAGAATAGCAATGACCACACTGTGGGAATGAGAGAGCCTTTCTGCACTCTTCCTAGAGAGGGAAAGTGGCTCCCAGAGAAATATTTGCCTCTTGGCTAGTTAAATGTAGCTCTAAAATGAGATCTAGCATTGTTGGCTTTCCAGCCAGGGATCTGACTACAAGGAAACAGCACCTCTAATAACAGCTTCCCTTAGGAGCACTACTTTAAAAAATGTTTCAGAACATCCTCCAACTCTGGCCCTTGTTGAGACAGACTACATTGATCAAGGACAGGGTCTGACATCCATCCAGGTCTGAGGGCTTTGGCTAGGGAAGGGAGGGAGATGACTTGCTGTGGGGACAGAAGGTAAACACTGGTTGTCTTTGTAAACCTGAGGAATATAATGAGTGGAACGTATTGTGTAGATCTATGAATTATTTCATTTTTTTCTAGAAACCTTTCTTATGTATCTCTCTGAAACATTGACAGTTGATTAACAGTAGAGGCTAACAGAGGATCAGGCTCATAGCTCAGCAGTAAAGCATCTCCTACCATGTGTGAGGCTCTGAGTTTAATCCTCAGCCCTGTAAAAGCAAACAAGCAAAGAAAGAAAGAAAATCCTGAAAAGCGAAAATGAAAACTGGTCCTTCACTCTGGATGGGTTTTGAGATGCTTGGCTGCCAGGTCCTTTCTGTTAAGATTTGTATATAAGCAGCCCAGGATCCTGGGTAGCTTCCAAGCTCCCAGGCTCTTTCTAAGAGCACAGGGACTAGCAGCACATACATGCCCTGGTCCACATCAAATTCTCCAGTCAGAAACTCTAGAATGGGGTGACACTTTAAATGCCCCTAATGTCATCTGACCAGTGCTCAAGTTTGGGGACCATTGCTCTAGACCAAGTTCCTTAAGTCCCTACTTCCTCTCCCAGCATTGCTGGCCCGGCCCGATCGCCAATCCAGTGAACATCTAGCAGCAAAGACAGCTCTGCAACTTCTCAAACCCTTTGGCCTTTGTATCCTCCCTCCCCCTCCAGCAACTGAACTTCTACCAGAGAAATTCTCTGTTGTTGGTTGTCTCTTACTCTTTGGCTCTTTGGAGCCAGCTCCTAAATAATCACACAGAGACTTATTATTTTTTAAATTTTTTTATTAATTTATTTCTTACATTCCAATCCCAGTTCCCTCTCCTTCCTCTCCTTCTTTTCCCCTATCCCCCCCCACCTCCCATCTGCTCCTTGGAGAGGGTGAGGCCTCCCCTAGGAAATCTACTAAGTCTGTCCCATCATTTCATTGGGGCAGGACCAGGGCACCTCTCCAACTCCACAACCCTGTCTCTAGGCTGAGTAAGGTATCTCTCCATATAGAATGGGTTCCACTAAGTCAGTTTGTGCATTAGTGTTAGATCTTGGACCCACTGCCAGTGGCCTCATATATTGTCCGAGTCACACCACTGTCACCTATATTAAGGGAGTCTAGTTTGGTCTTATGCAGGTTTCCCATTTGTCAGAGCTGAGTCAGTGATCTCTCACTAGCTCGGGTCAGCTGATTCTGTGGGTTTCCCCATCATGGTCTTGACTCCTTTGTTCATATTATCACTCCTCCCTCACTTTGATTGTACTCCAGGAGCTTGGCCCAATGGTTAGTGTGGATTTCTGCATCTGCTTCCATCTGTTTCTAGAAGAAGGTTCAAGCTTCTCTGGGGTTATGGATTATAGACTGGGTGCCTTTTGCTTTTTGTCTGGTATTCACTTATGAATGAGTACGTACTGTATTTGTCTTTCTGATTTTGAGTTACCTCACTCAGGATGTTTTTTTCCTAGTTCTGTCCATTTGCCTGCAAATTTTAGGATGTCACTGTTACTGACTGCTGAGTAGTACTCCATTGTGTAAATATACCACATTTTCTTTATCCACTCTTCAGTTGAGGAACATCTAGGTTGTTTCCAAGATCTGGCTATTATGAATAATGTTGCTATGAACATAGTTGAGCAAATGTCCTTGTGGTGTGAATGTGCCTCCTTTGGGTATAGGCCCAACAGTGGTGTTGCAAGGTCTTGAGGCAGGTTGAAACCTAAATTTCTGAGAAATTGCCATACTGATTTCTGCAGCAGCCATACAGGTTTGCCCTCCCACCAGCAGTGGAGGAGTGCTCCCCTTTCTCCACATCCTCTCCAGCATAAACTGTCATTGGTGTTTGTGATCTTCACCATTCTGATTAGTGTAAGATGGAATCTCAGAGTGGTTTTGATTTGCATTTCCCTGATGACTAAGGATGCTGAGCATTTCCTTAAGTGTCTTTCTGCCATTTGAGATTGTTCTGTTAAGAATTCTCTAAGCCAGGTGTTGGTGGCCCACGCCTTTAATCCCAGCACTCTGGAGGCAGAGGCAGGTGGATCTCTGTGAGTTCGAGGCCAGCCTGGTCTCCAGAGTGAGTGCCAGGATAGGCTCCAAAGCTACACAGAGAAACCCTGTCTCAGAAAAAAAAGGAATTCTCTGTTTAGATATGTACCCCATTTTAATTGGATTATTTGTTAGTTTGATGTCTAGTATCTTGAGTTCTTTGTATATTTTGGAGATCAGCCCTCTGTCAGATGTGGGGTTGGTGAAGATCTTTTCCCATTCTGTAGGGAGCCATTTTGTCTTGTTGCTGTATTCTTGGCTTTACAGAAGCTTCTCAGTTTCAGGAGGTCCCATTTATTAATTGTTGCTCTCAGTGTTTGTGCTACTGGTCTTTATTTACTGGTGGTCTCCTGTGCCGATGTGTTCAAATGTATTTCCACTTTCTCTTCTAAGAGGTTCAGTGTGGATGGATTTATATTGATGTCTTTGATCCATTTGGACTTGAGTTTTGTGCTTGGTGACAGATATAGGTCTATTTGCATTCTTCTACATGTTGACAGCCAGTTATACCAGCACCATTTGTTGAATATGTTTTCTTTTTTCCATTTATATTTTTAGCTTCTTTGTCAAAAATTAGGTGTTCATAGGCGTGTGGGTTGATATCAGAGTCTTCAATTCTATTCCATTGGTCCAACTGTCTGTTTTTATGCCAATTCTGAGCTGTTTTCATATACCTCTATAGTAGAGCTTGAAGTCAGAGATGGTGATGCCTCCAGATGATCCTTTATTGTACAGAATTGTTTTGGCTATCCTGGGTTTTTTGTTTTTCCATATGAAGTTGAGTATTGTTCTTTCAAGGTCTGTGAAGAATTGTGCTGGGATTTTGATGGGGATTGCATTGAATCTGTAGATTACTTTGGGTAGGATTGTCATTTTTACTATGTTGATCCTACCTATCCAAGAACATGGATCTTTCTATTTTCTGATATCTTCTTTAACTTTTTTCTTTAAAAACTTGAAGTTCTTGTCATACAGGTCTTTCATTTGTTTTGTTAGAGTTATCTCACGATATTTTATGTTATTTGTGGCTATAGTGAAGGTGATGTTTCTTTGATTTCCTTCTCAGCCCATTTATCCTCTGTATATAGGAGGGCTACTGACTTTTTTTGAGTTGATCTTGGGTTCTCCTACACTACTGAAGGTGTTTATC